TTCCCATTAGCCTGAATACCTCAGGAACGGGGATTCATACAAAGCAACTATTAGATATTAAGCCAAGATGACATTAAACCAAGGAATGTTTATTCTGTAAGCACAAGGAAATCATTTTCACATTGGTTTTAAAACAGAGTATGAAACAGAAATTCTATGCTTTCAAATTCTCAGGAGAATATGACCCCAAAAAGTTAAGAATTTCTGTTTCAGACCGTATATGTATTAGAAGTTATTGAAAAGAAAAAATAATTCTGTCATTATGTCCTTCAAACCACACGTACTCACCAGGGTCTAGAAGATAATATTCAAACAGTTTATGTATTCTTTTTAATGAAAAAAATCTTATCTAGCCATTTATCTTCTACTCCATTATTTTTGCTAAATTTTTCTATAAAATTTTAGTGATGATTTATACCCACATTAAAATAATTAGGGAAATAAGTATGTAGCTCATGATTAGCCCTTAACAAATATTTACTGACTCAAAGTGAAGAGAGTTTTCTTTCATTTTAAAAGCCAGGATAAGAACTTTGTTAAGTATTAAAACTTCTATGAGTGAACTATATAGCTCTAAGTAAAAACAACTGCTGTAGGTTTCTAGTATATAGTTTATAAAGACAGAGGCCATGTTTTTTCTAACCATGGATAACAATTAGGTCTATTTTTCCATATTAAAAAGCGTGCAGTACATATTTCACACTTTAATTGGTTTAATGTAGGTTAACATCAAAAGAAATTTACATTTGGCATCATGTAATCGCTACATTTATGGCTAGTTAGTCAGGTTTTTAGTATGGAGGACTAAAAGTCACAAGTTTACTTCCCAACATGTTCTCAAGTACTCGTCCTTTGTCCATGGCCACATACTGTGTCTCAATCTCAGTCAACCAGCTTGAAAACATGAAGTGAGCAGATGACTTCTAAAGTTCATTTAATACATGTGCCACTGGAGAAGGGAAAAGTATGTGAGAACAGACATTATTTATTCAGCAACATTTAAGTAGGTCTTTAAAGATACAGAAGTTAAAAAATAGAAAAGAGATAAATTCCTAATTATAAAAGTATGATAAACACATGAAAAAAGAATGCAGCATGGGAATTTTGTAGCTTCCAAGATTCCTAGATATCATAAAGGTGATACTTGAGAAGTTTGCCTGGACAAGCAGGAATCAACCAGGCAGAGCAGGAAGGAGGGAGGGGTATTAAAATAGTGGAAGAAGAGCCTAAGTCAAAGCAGACAGGTGAGAGATGATTTTCATTATTGTGAGATCATAGTTGTGTTTGGAGATGTGTTAAGATTGGGTCTCTTTCTTGCCTCTGTACTATTTTCAACTAGTTTTGTATGTCACACAAAGAACTTGGCATTTTACTATGAATGCAACAGAATCATTCAGAGACTTAACAGTATGTCTTGAACAAACATGAATTTTAAAAATATCACTCTGATAAACTTGAATGAAGGAAAGTAGAGTAAAGGAGCATCAAGGAAACCAAGTAGGAGTAACCTACTTGAGGGGAAAAAAGGGCATGAATTATAGCAGTGTCAGTAAGGATCAAGCTGAAGACAGTAAAACAGGACAGGGCTTTGACTAAAAGGCTGTGAAATATAAAGAAATAAAAGTTACCCTAAGATGAGTGTGACCATATGTACTAGTTTGCATGGGTAGTCCTGATTTATACTTACATATATTGTTGTTATATAAGTTGTTATACTTATAACAACTTAAGGTTGTTATTACTAGAGCTCTCTTTTACTCTCAAAACTGTCTTGGTTTGGATGATACATTATATTAATCACTTTACCTTTGACATTACCTTTGGCTTGCTGTACAGATAGTGGTGCCTTTAGATTAGATTAGGAACAAAGTCCAGGAACAGACTGTGGTGGGTGGCAAAGAATATATCAGGAGTGAGTGTAATTTATACTTTGGCTTTAAGGTGCAAGGTGATCTGGCAGTATTAACATGGTCATCATCATTTAACATGTAGAAACTGAAAATACAGATAGATGAAGTAACCTAGGTAGAATATATATCATAAGAAGGGATGAAGAAGAAAATCTTGGTAACAGCAATACTCGAGAGGAAAAGAGAAGCAAGAGGAAGTAGTAAAGGAGGGATCCAAAATATATCCAGGAAAAAGCAGTCCCATGGAAGCCAAAGGAAAATAATTCCAATAAAAGGGGTATGACTAGCATCAAATATTTCAGAGATCACTATTTAAAAATAGTGTTAAACATTCCTTTCAACATCTATCATATAAAATAAACTAACTGGACATTCATTTGTTTCTACCACATCATCTTTGTCCTTCTCCAGTCAACTTCAAGGCTTCTCAGGTGGCTCAGTGGTAAAGAATCTGCCTGCCAATGCAGGAGATGCAGTTTCAATCCCTGGGTCAGGAAGATCCCCTTGATTAGGAAATGGCAACCCACTCCAGTGCTCTTGCCTGGAAAACCCCATGGACAGAGGAGCCTGGTGGGCTACAGACCACCAAGTCACAAGAGCTGGACATGAATAAGCACAAACAGCCAACTTCATATACTTTTCAGAAGATTTAAAATAAATCATACTAATTAAATAAAATCTATTTCTCCTACATTTTTCTGTTTTAAAGTTCTAAGTTTCTCATTTTGGGTATATTTAAAACAAATACAGAGTTAATCTGGACTCAATTAAAAGTCTCAAATAACTCGATTTCTCCCCTTGCATTCTACTTTAATAGTTGGTTAAAGACAAGAAAAGTCACTATCAGGTTTTTTGTTTTTAAATAGGCAATTTCCAGAGCTGCCTAATATTGTCAGTATTCGGTATAACCTCTGGTACTTTGTAGAGCTATCATATAATACAAAAGAGCAATAGTTAACAGGAAGAAGCTAAGGCACCATAATAAGTTTTTGAATCATTTCAGACAGATTAAACTCAAAATTTCTATATTGAAACAGAAAAGTATATTTATACAATTTAGAAAGACTTAACAAGGATTTAAACCGCAGATGTTCATTAGATTCTAGTTAACCAAAAAACATACTTACTTCTGATGCATTCTGGTTAATCAATATATTATAGTAGTCTGAGTTAAAGCATCTTGTAATTTTTGCTAAAATGACTTTTTTTTTCAGATTCTATAAAACCAACAGGAGGAAAAAAAAGAAAGGTCTTACTTAAAAAAAGGGACCAATGTTTAAATATAAAGTGATAGAAAAATATCTTACTCCAGATAAGAATTCTTCAAATCTGTCATAGATACAAAAAAATCACTGAACTGTACGCTTTAAATGGGTGCATTTTATATTAACTCATTGTTTAAAAACTGAGTCATGTGTTTTTCTTTTAATATAAAACTTTAAGCTTCTTAAAAAGTTGTTTAAGTACACATAACATAAATGTACCATCTTAACCATTTTTAAGTGTACAGTTTACAGTATTAAGTACATTCACAATGTTATACAACCATTACAACCATCCATCTCCAGAACTTTTCATCTTACAAACCACTACCCGTTGAACAATAATTTCCCATTTTTTCCTTGCCCAGTCTCTGAAAAATCATTAAACCTTAAGGTTTTAAGTGTTTAGTATAAGGTGAAATTCTTACCAGATTATGTATAACATTTGTTAAGGTCCAAGCAACAGGAACACTGAAGAAGGGAATACTGAGTAAAACAATGTGAAGCAAGCCAACTCCCAATGCATATGTCAGCCACATACCACGGCTGTTCATTACACGGGTATTCGGATTCACCTCACTGTGGGCAACGCCAACATTCATGTTTGCGCTGCAGAAAAGCAATGAAATGAATCAACACTGATGTAACTGGAGACCCAAATAATCCTAATTTTGACATGACAAAATAAGTGTGTTACTGGGATTACTTTTTTTCCCCTCATCGTTCTGAAATAGAACAGACCCTCCAAAATATGCTATTTCCACATGCCCAGGAGGTCAACAGTTCTTCACATCCGACTCTAAGGTAAGACACACAAGACTTATTTTTATGCTTCTTGTTGAAAATAAACAGTTAAAATTCCTTTCCTAAAGCTTGTCTTCAAGCATGTTGGTTTTACTAAATGAAACCATGGGCAGGAAAACTCAAACTGAAAGAGAAAACCTACATTTTCTTTTATCATGAGAGCAAAGTGAAAACTCAGGAAGTAAGTTTACCAACAGAATAATATATAAAAAAAAAAACAAAGTTAACCTAAACCAGTCTGTTCTGAGTAGCCAGACTCTTTCCTACACCTAACAATGTATCCATATAGCGGTCAGAGTTCAAATCACTCCTTTAGGAACACTGAAAATCAGAGAAACATAACGAGGTGGAAATTTCACATGGTCAAAGGAGAAGGTTTCTCTCTCAATCTTGTTATACAATTAGGTTAAAACAAGGAGTCTTCTAGGCATTGTAATTCTGGTCACCGTCCCTAAAATACTGGTTTTTTCTCTTTCCTTCCTCCCCCTCCCCTTTCTTTCTTTCTGAGATTGAGGGATGGGGGGGGGGGGGCAGTGCTACACTGTATTGGGAACAGCTCTGAGTTAAAAATATACAAACCCTTTCCATTACAGAGTTAGCACTGAGAGAGGAAATTTCTCCTAACTCCATCCAACAAGTATTTCCAGAGTACAATGGCCCTCTCCCTACAAAAATCTATAGGCTTACGGTGATGAAAGTTGGTTACACTAAAAACATCATAGTCAGTCACAAATTTAAACGTGTAAATATGTCTTCCAGTCTAAATATCCACCGTACATAATATATAATTTTTATATGCTATAAACTGTACTTAGAACATGCCACCACACAAGGTGCTTTCCCCACTTGCGACAGGATTTCTTTTTAAATGCTCGAAAGACTTTAAAATCTACATCTGAGGCGGAAGGCAAAGACTGATCCTACCCCAGGACAGAAAACCTTTCCAGGAGTCCGCCGCGCCACTTCAGGACTGGCAAACAATGACTTCCCAGAGCAAAGAACCCTCTCGGCGCTGCCCTCGCGGATGCAGGGAACCCAGCGACCGCCCGCTACACAGCCAAGGGTAGCCTTCCCCAGCGGTCGGAGCTCCCGGGTAGTGGGAGTTCAGCAAAAGCCGCTGTGCTATCGACAAACCGTCCCGACTCCCCACCCCCTTCTTCTCGGAGCTGCACATCCCGTCAGAGCCGGGACGCGACGACGAGGATCTGGGGAGCAAGTCGTGGGGGCCACTTGGCTCGCATCGCCAGACACGGCGCCGCGGATGGAGCCAAAGACCACCTTTCCCCTCAAGCCGAGGGCCTGCCAGCAGCTCCCCACGGCACCAGGGAGCAGCACAGCCCCTGCGGCCGTTCGTGGCCACTCACCCGCCGCCCCACTCCCGGCAGCCGGACAGAAGCAGTACCAGCTCCGCGGAGGCGAAGGCGGCGTCTCCTCAGGCCGGATGCGACTAGTCAGCCTCAGCGCCGCGCAGCGCGGCGCGGCCAGCGGAAGCTCTCCTTGTGGAAAGCGCTGCCCGGGGATTGGCTGAGGGCGGCGCCAATCCCACGTTCGCCGGACTGGGCGGGACTGAGGGCGGAGCGCTCCGTGTCCGCCCCGCTCCGCGCGCGCTGTGGGTGAGTCGGGAATCAACGAGGCCGGGCCCGGGCTCCCGTCGGGACGCTGGCCGGTCCACTAGTGGATTGTAATTGCCCACCTCGCGCGAGCAAGCAGGTAGTGTCGTGTGGCCAACGGGCATTCATTGTTATATTGTCGTAGGCTCGGGAGCGTCCTCCTCTGACCTCGTCCTGGTCTGGGCGCGAGTACCGGGGGCCGCCAGGGGCGCCCCTCCCCCTCTCCACTCGCGGAGCGGGAAGCAGACGCCGCGGGGCTAGCGGGCGCGCACACGTGGGTTGCGGCCTCCCACCAGCTGCGGTCGTCCATAGTGCCTGAACTTTCTTGACTAAACGTTGTCTCAACCCATTCCTCAGATCCTTGGTACAGGTCTTCAAGTTCGCCAGGCAGAATTTTACCTCCTGACAGCCATAATTCAGTCCGTCTTGAGTGGAAGGGTAGGCTTTATAATATCGTATGTTGTAGCATCATGCAAGTGTAGCAAGCAAACTTTTCGGTTGACCGTGATTTTTACTTATGTCATTCTGAGTCTCTCTACACGCTGAACACGGGTACTTGTTTGCTGAGGAAATGTGGGCTCCAAGAATTTATTTATTTATTTTGCCGCTCCCCGTGGGTTGCAGGGAGGCTTGTGGAGACCTTGGTTCCCAACTAAGGATTGAACCCGGGCCTTGGTAGCGAAGTGAAATATTAACCACTGAACCGCCTGGGAATTCCCTTGAGAATTGATCTCATTCAAGATAAGGGAGGGGAAAAATCAGATTATTTGTAGTTATCTTTGAAGTTGAATTTCATTACCTTCGCAATACCCAGAGTTTGTAATGCTGAAATAACTTTCAGTGGGCATTTCAAAATTGGTGTAAGAGAATGCTGACTATATATATGCGTGATTGCTCAGTTGTCAAGTCATGTCCAACTCTTTGTGACCTCATGGACTGTAACCTCCCAGGCTCCTCTGTCCGTGGCGTTTTCCAGGCAATACTGGAGGGTTGCCGTTTCCTTTTCCAGAGCATCTTCCTTAGCCAGGAATTGAACCCTCATCTCCTGTGTCTCCTGCTTTGGACGGCAGATTCTTTACCACTGAGCTACCTGGGAAACCCTACATATATATATATATAGCATTTCTATTGGCCCTATGAAACCAGTTGGTTTTTTTCTTATAATTATTTCATTGTATTCTCCCTAAAGTTTATCTATGACTTCTCTGATCTTTGCTTCTTTTTTAGATACACTGTTATCCTTAATTGATTTCCCTGATTATCAGCCCTCTTTTGGTAATGTTTGATTTACCCCTCAGCAAATATGGAAGACTGATTCCTGACATTCTTAGACATTCTGTGCTGCGTTTCCTAAGCCTGATATCCCTTTTCAAAGATGCCGTTTGGTACACATTCAGTAGAGTGCTTGTTCCAAAAGTTATGCTAGGGATATAAGATTAATATACAATCTCTATTCTCAAAGAGCTTTCAGTCAGGAAGGGACAGAAATACAGTACTTAGAATAATCTGTGATGAGTTTGGGGTTAGAAGTAAGGGAAAAGTGCTCTGGGAGTACAGAGGAAGGAGAGTATAATTTGTGGGGGCAAGGATTGGAGCTGATAAGAAAGGCTTCCTGGAGGAGGTCCTACTTGAACTAAATCTACAAGTATGGTTAGAAGTCATTAGTAGAGAAAGGGAACCTTATGTTCCGAGGAAGGAATCAGGACTGCTACATTAAGAGAGACAAATCGTGTAATATGACTGGTCTAGTGTGTTATTCGGAGAAGAGTGGGATGAGATTAGAGAGATAGAGGTCCAGTTGTCAAGGAGTTTGGATTTAACCTAATAGTTGGAAATTTTATACAATTTTACGTAGGATAGCAACGTGATTAAATGTAAATTATATAAAGAACAGTGTAGGTGGTCGAGATCCCAGGAAAATATCAAGTATCTGGTTATTGCAGTGGTTCAGGGGAAAATTGTTAGGGGCTGAGCAGAGGGAGTGCCATAGCTTCAGAGAGGAAAGAGCTAGTTTGAGAGATATTTAAATAGTAGGATAGATAGGACTGGGTGGCAAGATGTAGAGACTGAGGAGAATTTCAAGGATGACTCAAGATTCTAATTTTGCATTGTGAGAATGGATGAACATAGCCTTTGGAGTCAAGCATGCCAAGGTATGCAGGTGTGCCTCTTTCACTTAATAGTTGTGTGATCTTGGAGCAAGTTATCAAGCTTTTAAATCTTGTTTGTGATAGAGGAATGACAGTACACATAAGCTTGTGAGAATTAATTTTATATGTATTAATATATAAAGTAACTTATGTAAGCTATTTTTATTATCAAACAAATTCAGGAAGAAAGTTAGAGAAAGATCCGAGATCCCCTTGGGTCATGTTAAGTTTAGGGTGCCTCTCTGTCATCTAAATGATGATATTTAGAAAGTAGTTGGAAAAGTTGTAGAAAAAAAGCCTGGTTAGGAGGTACAAGTGATGTGTAGGGGATGATATGGAGGCCAATTAGAATACATAAAGGAAGGGAGGTCACTCTTCCTAATGTTTACCTTTGCATGAGGTAAGTGCTGATGAAATTATTTTTTGTGACCTCCTTTATTAATACGTGAAGTACTCTGATTACTCTTGTGTTGCATCCAGAAATATATAATTCCCTGCATTCAGACATTGTTTAGGTCAGGACACAGGTGTGTTAGGTGAGCCAAGTTCTTTCAGAATGTAGGGTGAGCAAAGGGTCATTCCTGGCTCAGTGATCATAAAGGACCAGGTTATAAATGATACTGAAATTGGGTCTAGAATGATAGTTTTGCATTAGGAGAGTGTGGAGGTGCAGATAGGGTGGGATTGCTGGCAAAGCAAGATTAACATTTTTGAGTCCTCTCAGTAAGAACAAAGCTAAGTGGGAGGTTTGAAGGGAGAATAAGAGAAGTTGTCTTTTATAAATACCTATTTTGAGGTATCAGTGACGCTGATTGTAAGAAATGCTTTGTCTTAACTTGAGAGAGATCACTGTAGGGATGTAGATTTAGATGTGATTCTATAGCTGAAGCTTTGGGTTTTAAGGTATATAAGAAGAGTGGAGGGGTTATGGAATGCCCATTTTCTGGGAGGAGACTGAAGAAAATATGAAGAGATTCAAGAGGTATAGGTGGATGTATAATTCTTGAGAATTAAACAGTATCATCAATGTCACATGCTTCAGGGATGTCAAGGAACATGAGTTCTGAGAAGAGGGTTTGATGACCTAAGAGCTCATTGGTGAACTTGAGAACAGAATCCTAACAGTGGTTGTATACGCTGTTTTGCAAGGGTTTTAGAAGTGAGTCGGTGATAGAGAATTGGTGACAGTGAATATAGGTTACTTACTTAAGTTTGGCTTCATAAAGGAAGAAGATAATCATAGAGGTAACAGGGTTGAGGGAAGAATTTTTGTTGTTTTTTGTTTTTGCTTTCAAGGACAGGATGACTAGAGGTGGGGTGGGACTGAAGAAACTAGGTGAAATTGTTAGCTTAGAAGAAAGAGACATTAGCCTGAGACTGAGGGAGGAAGGGTGTGTAAACATTTTAAGAAGCCAAAGAACACAGTGTGGTGAGAAGCTAAAGTGTGTGAAAATAGAGATCATGCTGTGGTCTGCCTTGACCTCAGTAGATAGAAGAGGAGGAAGGTTGGAGTGAAATTAGGGACTTGGGAGCAGGAAATAGATTTTGGAAGAGAAGTTATAGAGAATGCGACGAAGATGATGAGATGAATAAAAAGATTGTGCAGAAAGGGAAGGTTGAGGTGAGGCTAAGTTAATACCCCAAAACTTGATTAATGTTTTTCTTACATCCTTGAGACTCTCAAAATGAGGAAGCAGACTTCTTAAACCCAAGCCTAATCTGATTTCAAGCTATGGGTTAGCTCCTGTTGGGGGTAGTTAGAAGTCTGCTCTGTGTGAGGTAGGGGGGTGGGGGTGGGGGATTCATTTACTAGTTTGGAGGAATTTAATTTAGTTCAAAGATTCTGGGATCTTTTAGCATGTATATGCTAAGCACTGTAATAAGTTGTATGAAAGTGAAAGTCGCACAGTCGTGTCCTGCTTTTGTGATCCCATGGACTGTAGCCTGCCAACACTTAGTCCATGAAATTCTTCAGGCAACAGTACTGGAATCGGTTGCCATTTCCTTCTCTAGGGGATCTTCCTGACCCAAGGATCGAACTGGGGTCTCCTGCATTGCAGGCAGATTTTTTACCAACTGAGCCACTAGGGAAGCCCAATAAGTTGTATACGTCATTTTATTTACTTTGCGGAGGAGAAGGGGACGACAGAGGACGAGATGGTTGGATGGCATCACCGATTCAATGGACACGAGTTTGAGTAAACTGGGAGTTGGTGATGGACAGGGAGGCCTGGCGCGCTGCAGACCATGGGGTTGCAAAGAGTCGGACATGACAGCGACTGAATTGAACTGAACTGACTTCTCACCATAGCCATATGATATCATTTTTATCTCTAGTTTATAGATTAGGTGATTAAATTTTAGAGTTTAATTTTCTCAACATTTATATAATTATTAGTGTAAAGACTAAGCTAGAACCAAAGCAGTGTGATTTCAGAGCTTGCTCTTGTAACCACTACTGTCTCCAGCACTGTGCAATCGAACAATAGTATCAGCCATATGTGGGCTTTCTGGTAGCTCAACTGGTAAAGAATTAGCCTGCAATGCAGGAGACCCCGGTTTGATTCCTGAGTCAGGAAGATCCCCTGAAGAAGAGACAGGCCACCCATTCTAGTATTCATGGGCTTCCCTGGTGGCTCAGATGGTAAGGAGTCCACCTACAATGTAGGAGACCTGGGTTTGATCCCTCGGTTGGGAAGATCCCCTGGAGGGGAGGGCATGGCAGTCCACTCCAGTATTCTTGCCTGGAGAATCACCATGGTCAGAGGGGCCTGGTGGGCTATAGCCCGTGGGGTTGCATATATGTATGCACACACACTTAAATTTTATGGTACTCACATTAAAAGGGGAAAAAATTAAGGGAAATTAATATTTTATATAATCCAATATATTCAGAATATCATTTAGTTTTAATCAATGTAAAAAATTAATTAAATTTGTTTATGTATTTTACACCAAGTTTGACATCCAGAGTGCATGAGCACATCGCAATTGGAGTAGCCCTGTTTCACGTGTGAGCCGTCACAAGTGGCTGGTGAGGACCGTGTGTGTGCTAGTTGCTGACAGTACCATGGAGTTATGTACCTTTAGACCCGAGGACAGTCCGAAGCCCGGGGACAGGACAGAGGGTGCCTTTTGTTGTGATGGCATTAATTTGTGTGACTGTTGTGGCCCTGGAACAGCTGACTGTGTCCTGTTCCCTGACTGACTGGGGAGGCCTCCTGGCCAGTGAGAGCCACAAAGAAACACCAAAAGGTGGTTGTTGACAGCTCCTCTCCTAAGACTGGGCTACCCCCAAATTACTTATGTAGTGTAATTAGGAGTTAATTGTTAGAAAAGGATTTTCAGTGTTTCTGTACATAATGATCATGGTAATGAGAATACTGTATATTTTATATGCCTTTATCATTTACATAACATTTTGTGTGTATTTTCTTGTTTGATTCTCACAACAGACTAGTGAGATATTATCCTCATTTGTAAAAGTAATAAGTTGATTTTACAAAGGGATTTAAGTAATGGCACTCCAGTGGCAGAAAATGAAGAGGAACTAAAGAGCCTCTTGATGAGGGTGAAATAGGGGAATGAAAAAGCTGGCTTAAAACTCAACATTCAAAACTAAGACCATGGCATCCAGTCCCATCACTTCATGGCAAATAGAAGGGGAAAATGTGGAAGCAGTGACAGATTTTCTTTTCTTGGGCTCCAAAATCACTGCAGATGGTGACTGCAGCCATGAAATTAAAAGATGCTTGCTTCTTGGAAGGAAAACACTGACAAAACTAGACAGCATATTAAAAATCAGATATATCACTTTGCCAACAAAGGTTCATGTAGTCAAAGCTATGGTTTTTCCAGAAGTCATGTACAGATGTGAGATTTGGACCATAAAGAAAGCTGAGCACTGAAGAATTGATGCTTTTGAGCTATGATGTTGGAGAAGACTCTTGAGAGTCCCTTGGACTATAAGGAGATCAAATCAGTCAATCCTAAAAGAAATTAACTCTTTAGAATATTCATTGGAAGGACTGTTGCTGAAGTTCCAATACTTTGGGCACCTGATGCGAAGAGCCTACTCATTGAAAAGACTCTGATGCTGGTAAAGATTGAGGGCAAGAGACAAAGAGAGTGGCAGAGAATGAGGTGGTTGGGTGGCATCACTGCCTCAATGGATATGAGTTCCAGCAAACTCTGGGGGATATGAAGGACAGGGAAGCCTGGGGCACTGCAGTCCATGAAGTCACAAAGAGTTGGAAATGTCTGAGCGACTGAACAACAGCACACAAGTGATAAGTTGATTTTACAGAGGGATTTCAGTAAGCTTTAGTTTATGTGACTAAACATGAACACCCAAACCTGTTTTTTTAGACTCTGGTCTGGCATATTTCTCCATTGTGCTAATCAGCTTTGCCTTGTGCAGAGCAGAATGTAGTTATGAATTGTGAACAGTCAACACCATTCAGAAGTCAGTGTATTGACTACTTCCCAGAAATGTATTGCTCAACATTCTGTGTAACCTTGGTGGCTATATTCCATTTCTTGCTCAATTACTTATTCTTGAATTTTATGTCACTCTGCTTGTTTACATCTAAGTTGCCTGAGAAAGAATCCTAAACAGAAACCTTTTTATTTTGTTTGTCTTTGGTATCATTGTTTTGTTTTGACCTAGATTCCATAGGATCATACCATCATGATGTGCATGTAACAAATCATGGTAAATTAAGGACGTACTTAGGGTTCTTGTATGGGAAAAGAACAATTTTATTATTCTCATACCCCCCAGTTATAGCCCCCATTTTATTGTCAGATAAAATCATAACTCTTGAGGAACTTGTATGTTGTCAAGCTGCTGCTGCTGCTAAGTTGCTTCACTCGTGTCCGACTCTGTGCGACCCCATAGACAGCAGCCCACCAGGCTCCCCCATTCCTGGGATTCTCCAGGCAAGAACACTGGAGTGGGTTGCCATTTCCTCCTCCAAGGCAGGAAAGTGAAAAGTGAGAGTGAAGTGGCTCAGTTGTGTCTGACTCGTAGCGACCCCATGGACTGCAGCCTACCAGGCTCTTCCGTCCATGGGATTTTCCAGGCAAGAGGACTGGAGTGGGTTGCCATTGCCTTCTCCAGTTGTCAAGCTAGTATTCTTTAATTTATTGAGATCTTTTCTGAAGTTAGGCATTAAAGTAGATGCAAACCCCATTCCCTGCAGATTTTGTATACATGACTTCCGTATGAGGTTTTTTGTTTCTTTGCAAAAGTTTCAAGATGGAGGGTTTCATGGCTTAAAACAATTACTGGTAGAGAGATTTGGATGTACAAGTTGGATCGTCATGTAAAGGACCTTTAATGCCAGAACATGGATTTGAGCTTTATCTTATTTTGGCTTTGGGAAGCCACATGATTAGAAAGATGTTTTAGGCTCAGTGTACAGGAATGGCACCCCACTCCAGTGTTCTTGCCTGGAAAATCCCATGGAGGGAGGAGCCTGGTGGGCTGCCGTCTATGGGGTTGCACAGAGTCGGACACGACTGAAGTGACTTAGCAGCAGCAGCAGCAGTAGCAGTGTACAGGATGGTCATCTGATGTGATATGTTGGAGATGTGACTAGTTTAGATTAAGGGTAATTCTGGAGTCTGGATTTCCTAACTCTAAAAGAGCTCAGTAATTAAAAGAGATAATTGTAATTCATTGAAATGTATCAATGATTAATGATGTTCAAGAGCTACCGCCATTAAGGCACATGAGTGACATTATCTGCTTATCAGTTGGCAGCACCATCTGGTCATTCCTAGCGGTAGGTCATATATTACACTTATTACACGATTGTTCTTACCATTTTTCAGTTAGTAACATAGTGTGACTTACCAAATAATTTCTTTGTGCCTTAGTCTTACAATATGCAGATGATAATGGCATTTATTTTAAAGGATATTCATAAGAAATAAGCAATTTAATACTGTATGTGCTTAACATTAGAGCCTGACATACAATAAGACTCATAACCAAACTGCTATCAGTTCTGTTAGGAATGTTTAACAGTTTTTATTTTTACATCTTATGGTTTATTTTCTAGCTATTGTGCTGAAAGCTAGAATGAAACAGTTGCCTGCAGCAACAGTTCGCCTACTTTCAAGCTCTCAAATAATCACTTCAGTGGTCAGTGTTGTAAAAGAGCTCATTGAAAACTCCTTGGATGCTGGTGCCACAAGCATAGATGTTAAACTGGTGAGTGTTCTTGAGATGCTACCAACTGCCTTTAAAGCAAAAAAAGAGTTGAACAGATGTTTTCTCCTTATAACTATTACCTTTCTTTTCTTTATATTACCAGTAAATTATTTTTAGAACATTGAATCCTTTGTCTTATTTAAGTGTAAATCCTTAAAAATGCGTTTTAGTTTAAATCAATATACAGTAACACTAAAGGAAGTCATAAAGGAAAGCTTTTTCTTGAGGACTCTTTCACATAAAAAATGAACTTAATTTGTCCATATTTTCTGCTATTACTTACCCTTGGTTATATGTGCTTATTTGTTTTATATATTCTCTGTTTTTTCTACTTAATCTTCTTTCAGAACTGTGTCCTTTGTTGCTTCATAGTTTTCACAGTTTTAAATTTAAGTGCTACATATTAAATCATTTGAGTTAATATGACTTATGAAACTTGCTATGATTTATTGCAATGAGTCTGAACCCATACCACCTCTATTATAAATTACTAACTCATGGAGGTAAGGTCTATATTTTTTTCTGTTCTCTATACCTGTTCAGTATATGGTATTTAAATGGTAAATAAATTTGTTTGAGTGAATGTAAGAATGCATTTTTTTGTAATCTCCTGGTCATCAGATATTCATATTATTTCTGGTATTATGGCATTAGCAGAATACTGATATGAATATCTTTGTAGGAAAGAGACCTTCCCTTTTCATATACATGTGCATATATTATATATATGTTATTCCTTTTTATCCTTATAAAAACTATAAATTAGCTACCACTACCCATTTTACAAATAATTAAGGTTCTAAGAACTTTCTCAAAGTCATGTAAGTATGGTAGTAAGTAGTGGAGCTGAGATTATATTCCAGATCTTTATGACTCTAAAACCTTTCAAGATTTTTCGTCAATGATAGTGGTTCTCACCACACTTGGGTACATCAGTAATTTTAGTGAGTTTGTTAAAACAGTTATTGGGCCCCAGAATTTCATATTCTAGGTAGGGCCCCAAATTTGTGTTTCTAAGAAGTTTCTGGTTGATGGTGAGAACCACTGTTCTATCCTGTGTTAGACTTGTACTTTGATTTTAAATGATACAGTAAAAGCTTTATAAATATGAAAAAAATTAAAATGAAAGACATTTCCTTTTTCTTAAACATTTTATATAGTTCAGTCTGATAAGAATACAGTTGATAATACTTAAATAGGATTAGATAATTATAACTGACAAATTTAACATAAGAATCTTAAGCAGGCAAACAGAAATCTTATTCTGAAAGGTCTTGGAAGAAAAATATAGTTTTTAAAAATAGTTTTACAGAGCCAACAGAACTTCTCTTTAAAAAGTAAATTAAAGTACACATTTTTATCTGGTTATATATTTACAACTCTTGACTTTTATCAGTTTCTGGTTTGTAGAATTTTAAAACAACTCTGTTGCTCTATATAATAAGATCTGTTTTATATAGTTTCATATATTAATAACTGTCCTGGGTAGGAATGTTTTCATAATTAGTAAATTAAATGTGTTGACATTATTTCAGACATTTAAACAGATGATTGTATTGTTTTACTCAGGTGCCTTGAGTTTTTACTTGTATTGAAAGACTGGCATTTCTATAGTTAATTATTTTTCTATAAAACAAAGTAGACAAGCTGTCTCCAGGATCATAATTTTAGATTAAGGGAGAGATAAGAAACTAAATCTTAGGTGACTCTCCCCAGCACCTTGTATTTCTACTAAAAAGGCATGACACAGTATCATATAATTTTAGGTTACTAAAAAGGTACTGTATTATTTTTAAATAACAATCATAATTGTAGGAAGATTTTTTCCCCTGTATAACTTGCATTTATGGCCATACACATAAAACTCTGTGAAGTAAAGCTTATGATAGAAGTTTGCTACCAAATTTAAAATGTGTACTCATAGAAAGTGTGATGACCATAGGAATTTATGCTTTGTATTTGCAATGTATGCATATTTTTAGTATTAAATTGCCCACATTAAGCCATGATTTGTTTTTCCTCCTCCATTTTCAAATTAAAAACTCACTGAAATTGCTAATTAGGTGTATTTTCTCAGCAGTGTGTTAGGTGACTATTTGCAGAAAGAAATTAAGAAAGTTGTAATGTAACAGATTTTTATTTATTTATGACTACAATAAGTAGTTCAAGTGAGAAAGTATTAAAAATCAGATTGAATATTGATAATTGCTCAGCTCTTGGTGGGTAGAACCGGGTGTTGTTTTTGATGGTGATGGTATTCTGTTTTATTTGGGAGATTATATATACACAAAGCATCCTTCAGCCTTGTCGTGGCAAAGGGGCTTGTGTAACTCAGTGAGGCTGTGAGCCGTGCTGTGCAGGAACGCCCAGAACAGATGGATGACAGGCAGAGTACTTCATGCAAAACGCTGAGCTGGATGACTCACAAGCGGGAATCAAGACTGTGGGGAGAAATCAACAACCTCAGATATGTAGATGATACCACTCTAATGCAGAAAGTGAAGAGAAATAGAAGGGCCTCTTGATGAGGGTGAAAGAGCTGGCTTAAAATTCAACATTCAAAAAACTAAGATCTTGGCATCCTGTCCCATCACTTCATGGCAAATAGAAGGGGGAAAAAGTAGAAGCAGTGACAGATTTTCTTTTCTTGGGCTCCAAAATCACTGCGGATGGTGACTGCAGCCATGAAATTAAAAGACACTTGCTCCTTGGAAGAAATGCTGTGACACACCTAGACAACATATTAAAAAGCAGAGACATCACTTTGCCAACAAATGTCCCTATAGTCAAGGCTTTGGTTTTTCCAGTGATCATGTTTGGATGTGACAGTTGGATCATAAAGAAGACTGAGTGCTGAATCATTGATGATTTTGAACTGTGGTGTTGGAGAAGACTCTCGAGAGTCCCTGAGACTGCAAGGAAATCAAACCAGTCAATCCTGAAGGAAATCATCCCTGAATATTCATCGGAAGGACTGATGCTGAAGCTCTAGTACTTTGATTACCTGATGGGAAGAACCGTGTCATTGGAAAAGGTCCTGATGCTGGGAAAGACTGAGGGCAGGAGGAGAAGGGGGCAGCAGAGGATGAGATGGTTGGATGGCATCACCAGTTCAGTGGATGTGAATTTGAGCAAACTCCAGGAGATAGAGGACGACAGAGGAGCCTGGTGTGCTGCAGTCCATGGGGTTGCAAGGAGTTAGATACAACTTAGTGATTCAACCACTGCAACAATATATACAAAGGTCTATATAACTTTGAAGAATATTTCTGGGGAAGTTTAAATCTAAGTACCTATTACATGGAAACAATTCAAGGGAACCTTGAAGATCATACTGATATTATTTTACACTGAGTCTGAGTCCAAGGAAAACAAGGAACTTGCCCACTGTACCATAGCTAGGAACTGGTGGAGTTAAGAATTTAAACTCTTAACTTCTTTAATGTTAAGTTTACATGCTGTGCTGTGCTAAGTTGCTCTGTCGTGTCCAACTCTTTGCAGCCTCATGGGCTGTAGCCCGCCAGGCTCCTCTGACCATGTCATTTCTCCTGGAGTGGGTTGCCATGCCCGCCTCCAGGGGATCGTCCCAACCCAGGGATCGACCCCAGGTCTCCCGCATTGCAGTTGGATTCTTTACTGTCTGAGCCACCAGGAAAGCACAAGAATGATGGAGCGAGTAGCCTATCCCTTCTCTGGGGCATCTTCCCGACCCAGGAGTCGAACCACAGTCTCCTGCATTGCAGGCAGATTCTTTACCAGGTGAGCTACAGGGAAGTCCTAAGTTTCCATAAGAGATAAATAAATGACAAAACTGTTTCATTTGTGTTACCTTCTGTCTCTAAATGTGATAATAGTTTAATGTCTTTATATACTAAAAGTATTGTTTAACTTTTCATAGGAAAACTATGGATTTGATAAAATTGAGGTGCGAGACAATGGTGAGGGTATCAAGGCCATAGATGCACCTGTAATGGCAGTGAAGTACTACACCTCAAAAATAAGTAGTCATGAAGATCTTGAAAATTTGACAACGTATGGTTTTCGTGGAGAAGCCTTGGGGTCAATTTGTTGTATCGCCGAGGTAAGGTAATTTGTATTGATCATTTTAGCAGTTTCATAATAACATGGCATTAGAATTAAGAGAAAACTCACCCAGAATTTGGCTTTTTTTTTTTTAACTGTGTAAAATACGGGTAACATTTACCATTTTGTTGTGTAAAACAGACATGAAATTTATCAGTTTAGTCATTTTTAAGTTTACAATTCTGTGACATTAAATGCATTTGCTTCGTTGTGTAGGCATCACCACTGTCCATAGCCAGGACTTTTTCATCATCCCAGACTAAAGCTGTACCCATTAAACAATCAACCCCCATTCTCCTTTCCTCCATCCACTGGTCACCGACAGTGTACTTTCTGTCTCTATGAGTGACTATTTAGGTGTGTCTTATACTTGGAATCATACAATATTTATCTTTTGTGTCTGGTTTATTTCACTTAACATAATGTCTTTAGGGTTCATACATATTATAACGTGTATTAGAATTTCATTCTTCTTAAGGGTGAATGATACTCCATTATATGTATAAACCATATTTTATTTATTCATTCATCTGTCAAGAGACATTTGGGTTGTTTCCACTGTTTGACTCTTGTGAAGATTGGTGTACAAATGTCTGAGTCCTTGCTTTCACTTTTTTGGGTATATACCCGGAAGTGGAATTGCTGGTTCAAATGGTTCAGTAATCCCCCTTATCCATGGTTTTGCTTTCTGTGGTTTCAGTTACCACAGTCAACCACTGTCAGAAAATATTAAGTGGAAAAATTCCAGAAATAATTCATAAGTTATGTGCCATTCTGAGTAGCATGATGAAATATTGTGTAGTTCTGCTCTGTCATTCCCAGGATGTGAATTGTCTGTCTTACGTATCCACATTGCATACACTGCCAGCCTTTTAGTCACTTTCTGGCTGGGTGAGTTACCAGATCTGTCAAGGTATCATAGTGTTTGTTTTCAGAGGAGCCCTTATTTTACTTAATAATGGCCCCAAAGTACAAGAGTAGTGATGCCAGCAATTCAGATAGTCTCTTACTGTGCCTAATTTATAAATTTAAACTTTTATCTTAGATATGCGTATTTAGAAAAAAACATAGTGTATAGAGGGTTTGATACTATCTGCAGTTTAAGACATCCCCTGGGGATTTTGAAACTTGTCTCCTGAGGATAAGGGGGACTACTGTAATTAATTTTTTGAGGGATGGCAAGGAGTGTTTTTCAGTGGTAATATAAGAGGGAAAAAATGGTTTAGTCATCTAATGGCTTGGAAAAGTATTAAAATTAAACAGGTAACTATAAGCATTTCTCAGAGCCTTTACTGTACTAAAGTGCATTATGAATCTCCGAGGTTGGTGGTTTCCAATAGGGACATTTCCTGCTCACTTGGCTATGAAACCCTTTTACTGAGATACCTGTCACTGATAATCCTGCTCTGCTGTGGAACACACTCTGGAAACACTACGGTGGTCAACACAGATAATTAGACTGTGCTCTAGAGATATGTAAAGAAGGCAATGGCACCCCACTCCAGTCCTCTTGCCTGGAAATCCCATGGATGGAGGAGCCTGGTGGGCTGCCGTCTATGGGGTCACACAGAGTCGGACACGACTGAAGCAACTCAGCAGCAGCAACAGCAGCTAGATGTGTAGAGAAAGAAATGGCAACCCACTCCAGTATCCTTGCCTGGAGAGTCCCATGGACAGAGGAGCCTGGTGGGCTACAGTCCATGGGGTCACAAGGAGTCAGACACAACTGAGCAAACACTCAGTCACTAGAGATATGCAATGACTTGGGCTAAACCCTAGTTAGAATTTTCCTCTCCTGACTGCTAGATGTTTTCAGTGTCTATAAACCCTTCATTCAGTTGATGTCTGACCCACTGCGTTGCCCAGTATGAATTCTATGTCACTGCCTCTTCCCTAGATCACGCAGCTGGTTTTTGTCAAAGCCCATCTAGAACCTTGATCTCTTCATATGCATGTATATCAGTTACGTTTGATCACTAGTTCCTTTGTGCTGTACTGTTCTCTTCTGTGTTAGGGTCTGTTTTACAATGTGATTGTGTGCCAGTAGAGTGACACGGTAATTGTGAGGGTCACTAGCTACCTCCGTTTGTGTGGTGGCTGTGTATCCTTTCATTTGTGCTTACTGCTGTTTGGGTGAGAATGCTCAGGTGCAGTAAAATGATGGGACTTATTGTCTCAGAAAAGTGGCAAAGATATGAGATATTGTTGCTGTTTCATTATCTATTTAGTAATCTAGTCTCCCCAACAGTGATCCCTTCTTCAGGCCTCTTGGTCTTCCCTCAGCCCTTCCCTTAGAGTGTCTGTGTAAAGTACGTTTTCTCCATTTTTGGAGGAAAGGTCCCATCTAGGTATTCACTTCCTCTTTGACTTCAGGGCTCTGTAAGCTGATGCCTAAGAAAGAAAGAAAAATTGTGGGTTGTGGAGGAGGGAAAGTTTAAAGGATGAAGTTATGCTATTGTAGCTCAGAGGACCTTGCTTGTTAGAATCCAGATGTTCAGACATCAGTAAAGGAGAAAAGACTTTGTCATTCCTTAAGTGTATACTGTGTAAAAATCTCTATCCAAAATCTTGCACACCCTGTGCTTTCTCTATCTTTCTCAGCACTTGCTTTATTTAGGGTTCACTGAGTCTCCGAAATTTACTGGCCATTGCCCAATTTTATCCCCGTAGACTGTATTTTGGAACCTATAGTCCTGGAATCTTGTAGAAAGAGTCTGTTTTTGTTTTGTTTTGTTTTAAGTTGGGATGTGATTTGTATCAGAGAGTCTTTGAAGCTCCCAGTACTAAATACTGTTGTTTGAGTTCTCAGGGCTGTTTTAAAAACTGTATTATTTGTTTGAGAGTAAAGTATTTGACTTTTTAACTGTTGTCCAAATTTGGCAAATAGTTGTTAAGCTTTATTTTGACAGGTATTGTTAAATAATATATTGTTCAGCCTTTCTGTATTTTCTATAAGATGTGTATATTAGTCTTTCAGAACCGAAGTTGGTCATTATCAACTTTGTCTGCTAGGTGGCAGTACTATACCTAGTCTTTTAAAATACATTGTACGTAAGTCATAATTTATCCAAATCTTCACTGTAGTTATGATTTTAGATGGCAGTTTGGCAAGTCTTTATCCAGTGGTACTCTGCATTGTTTTTTCATTTGATTACTTAAGCCCACTTAATATCCAAATTTATTGTTTGATCTCTTGGTTCATTTTTGAGGTATTTGAATGTCTTGCGTATAAATACTTAAAATAATTTTGTTCATCAAAATTACAAAAGGAGTAAAAGAATTGTCATTATCACAGTGATAGAAAACTGTAACCTTTAAAAAATTATGTTCAATTTACATATCTCAGGGTCCAAAGTTTATCTTATTTTATGGAATATTGTAAGTCTTGTAAGTCTTTGGGAAAATCACACATAGATATGTGTGTGTGTGTGTGTGTGTGTGTGTAAATTTCTATGTGTGTATACTTCAGATCAAGATTTAGACCACTATCAGCACCCCTGAAGGCCTCTCGCATTCCTGCTTCCAGCTAGTATGCCTCAGAAGGTAGTGGCTCTCCTGATCTGTGTCACAGAGATTAGTCACACCTGTGCTTGATCTGAACGGACTCTTACAGTATATACCCTCTCAAATCATCCCACCCTCACCCTCTCCCACAGAGTCCAAAAGACTGTTCTTTACATCTGTGTCTCTTCTGTCTCACATATAGGGTCGTCGTTACCATCTTTCTAAATTCCACATATATTGTTAGTATACTGTATTGGTGTTTTTCTTTCTGACTGAACTTCACTCTGTATAATAGGCTCTAGTTTCATCCACCTCATTAGAACTGATTCGAATGCATTCTTTTTAATAATGCCAGGTTTTCTTAACCCAACTTCAAAACAGTCTAATAATAAGTTAGCTAAAGTTTCTTTATCTACTGTATGTGAGTGGTTTATTTCAGAGGAACTGGGCACAGTGAAGTAAATGGAATATGAAAATTGTGATCTCTTTAGAGACACATAATGTATCCATGGCAAAGCCAAAAATTCATTTATAATTTCACACCTCTCAGTACTGCGTTTTCCACAGTAGCTCATGCTGCTTTCTTACTAGCATGATTAGAAAGGTATTAGTAAGTTTAAAAGTGTCTCATATTAAAATAATGAATGTACTCAGGTCCATAGTGCTCAATAGAGATTGTATCAAGGAGTAGTCAAGTTGAAATGTATATTGGAGGCTTCTGATTCGTATTTCAGAAACACAGAAAGTAATAGATAGTTCTTAAGGTCAATTATATTTTAAAATTAAAACTTATTATTCAGGAAGACAAATTAATGAGTGCTTTTTTGGGGAAAAATATTACTTTTTAAACAATATTCTTCACCATTCAGAAAGAATTGAAGTTGCAAGTATAGAAGTTACATGTTTATTTTAAAGGCTCCAATTTATTTTGAAAATTTTTGAATAGAGATTGTGATTACATAATAAAAATTAGTGATTTGGTTATTTTATTGGCCAAACAAACTGATGTAGATAAATTTAAAGTCATACAGATGTAAATCATCTCTAACTAGGTAAATTGATAATAAATAATTGAGATATAGTTTTGTCACACAGCCATTGCTCAAAACTCCCAACTGTTGAAATTATCTTGTTAGATTATTTTAAAGTTGGTCATAATTTTAGTTATAAAAAGAAAAATTAAGTAGGCTTTCAGCAAAATTGGCTGTCGAAATTTAAAAGACATCTAATTCTGTTTTTTTTAGTTTATGCATTTTAAAAGAATGAGCAGTTTTCCTAATTTATCAGTTATAAAATGACTTCCAGTCAGTCCAAAAGAGTAAAAAATAAATTTTTATAACAGAGTGATAGTTAAAACTGGAATTACCTGTTTCCATAATCTGATGAATGTGTCAGTGACTGAAACTAAGTGATTTATATGTTTTTTTTTAAATTATATCATTAAGCATACCATCTCTTGAAATTTATTATTGTTGTGGAAGAGTAATTTTGGGATATTCGTCAGTCTTCAGTGTTACATTCCTGGTACTTATTACTAAACATACTGACTAGAATGAGCTAGAGATAGTGAAAATCCTATTTTGACATGTCCATAAAAATTTTTAAGAGGACTCTGTATATATTCTTTCTACTACATAATAAAGTACACAATAAAATCCTTCTCGGCTGATATTTTATATATATATTATGTTAAAACTATTTTTTTCTCCAAAGAAATGTATAAGAAATTCTTTAAGTGTTTTGAACTAGATTTTAAATGGAAGCTAAGTCACATCTTAATATAGGATATTTTTAATTTGTTTTGTTTTCTGCAAATTAGAACAGACTCTGGACAGGGACGCAGAAACCTAATTATCATTTCCAAGAGTGTGAATAAGAGTTGGCCCAAAGCATAAAACTGTTCTGAGTCTTTTTTTTTTTTAATCTGTAAAGTGGAGATTATGATTTGAGGATCAAATGAAATAATATATATTAAAGTATCTTGAATATGGTCATGTGCCATACAGATGAAATTACTTTTACTCTGGACTTGAATGTGAAAAGTAGTATGTATCTGTATCACACAGGTGATAGAATCGTCAGGCTTGCTCATTCTCTTGTTTGTAATCAGTATTTCAACTTCACTTTCAAAGTTTATGCGAACCCGTCACATTTTGGGAAGTCCTTTATAAAATTTAACAGCCATGCCTAGGTAAATTCCTTCTAATTCTCACCAGTGGTCTTTATTCTATAGCTTAAATGTATTTTTTTTTCCTCTTGTTTTTCTCTTGGGAGAATTAGAAGAGTTGATGACCATCCTCTTGCATAACGCTCATGTTTATTGATTCATTCATCCAAAATTTTTAAAGTGGTTATAATGTGCTGAGTGTTAGGTTGGTCTGTCAAATTCATTATACATTTTGTGATGAGATGATAAGGGATATATAAGTTTGGTTTTGTTTTATGTGCATTAAACCTCCATGGCTTAAATGGGGCAGAAGCAGCAGCTAAGTCATTCTGTTTTGAGGCCAGAAGTTGGGATGCCCGTGTTTGTGGCCCAGCAGAGCTGTAGAAGAGTAGAGGGCAGTCTCTAGCTTCAACCTGCTGCCTCCTGCTCCCTGTGACACAGTGCGGGATGCTCCTGTGTCCCCGAGAGCCGTTGTGGTGAGGCTTTAACTAGAATAGGCACAGGATTTTTGAAGCAGTTGGTATATCATGTTTCCTAAATGCAACTTTCCCACTGATAATAAAACTGTTGAAAGGAGAAAAGCCAGGGCCAGGATCTCCCTGTTGCTGGTGTCTCACAGTGGAGTATCTGGGGGAAGGCTTTGAAGTCATAACGTACAGCTGTAGGCAGACAGGCAGGGGTACTCACACTGAGGAAGACAAAGACATGTCAGTGATCCGTGTGTAGTTCATATTTCAACTGAATCATGAGGACCATTTACCTTAGTTCTCAGATTTATGTTTCTGTGCCAAAGTGTTTGTCTAAAAGTCAGCAGAAACAAATCAAAATCAAAAAACCTCCACAGAACTTTAATTATCATTTAAGAAAAAAAAAATTAAGAAATTTTGTCAGGAGAGGATTTTTTTTTTTTTCATGAATTCAAAGATCTATCCTAAGCTTTTAATTTACTTACTTTCTGAAACATTGAGAAAAATAGTACTTATCTAAAGCTTAAATGCTTTTATGCAATTTTAACTTTGTAATTGTATTATAATTTCTTGAAACTCATTAACTAGACCAGAGACAGTTTTCAACAGTGATAATTAATATAACCTCTAAGGACTTCTAAAACTTCTTTTAAAATAAGCTTCTCATTTTAAAATTCTTTAAAATAAATTTATTTCTTCTCTTGAGAACACTGCTGGAGTCATTTACTGCCACAGTTCCTCAGTGTCTCTAGTCAGAAGCACCAGAAATAATTTGTAATATTAGAGATGCTTCTGATGGTGGAGTTATTACCAATTCAAATGTGTTAGCTGCTGCACAGCTAACAGCAGCTAACACATTCTGAACCTGTGCCTGGTCCAAAAAAAGGTTTCCTGTCCAGGACACAGGGTCATATGATGAAATGAACTCTTGAAATACAATTCCTTCCTCTGAGGAACACACTGTGTTTTATGAATTTGTGAAACTTTGCTTGTGCATGTTATCCTTCACTGTCTTTTACAGTGAATTACAAAGGATTTCCTCTCTAAATATATTTTCATACAAACAATTTAGTTTTTAAAATTTTAACACTGGAAGATGATATTATGTTCTTTTTTTTTTTAACTTTAACATAAATGTTGCATTATGACCACTAAGGTTCTGTTTTGCTTTTTAGCACTTCAGTTTATTCATCTAGGCTCGAGTGTGTTTACTATTCCCTATTGGTTTAAGGCTAAATCTGTAAAACGCTTTGAAGTAGTTAAAGCAAAAACCCATGTAACCTTATGAAGTATTAGCATCATCTTCATCTTATCATCACCCTTCTCAAGATGATAGTGTAATCATTTATTCAGGACCATCTAGCTAGCCACTGGCAGAGTTAGTACTAGAACTCAGAGTCCCGGGGCTGCCTCTGCTTAGTGACACAGCTTACGTCAGGTGGCTAGCTCTTTCGAGAATAGAAATAGAATTCAGTTGACCTTGGCATTTTGGAGCAGTGTTTGGTTAAATGTAGAATTATTTTTAGAGGGACAATCATAAAGTGATTAAATTAGAAATAGGAAGGAAAATCTCTAGCAATTTCTGTCCTTTTTAACAAACTTTACTAGAGGGAATCACTGTTGGACACAATAGAGTTGGGATGTAGCTGGGAAGATTGAGATTGGTTATCAGGAAAACTTTTAAAATACAACTTTTGAACCATGAAGTGTATTCCTGGAAATAGAAGAATCACTTAAGAGTATACAGAGGCTCACAGCTTTGCTTCAGGTACAACTTTTATTTGGTAGCAAGATTATTGTCATTTATTTTATTTATCTATTTTTAACTGTTGACTGCACCAGGTCCTCCTTGCTGGCAGCGGGCTTTCTCTGGTTGTGACGAGTGGGTCTCCTCTCTGCTGCAGTGCTCAATCTTCTCTTTGTGGTGGCGTCCGTTGTTGCAGAGCACCAGCTCTGGGGTGCACGGGCTTCAGGAGTGCAGCTCATGGGCTTGAGAGCTCAGGCTCAGGACTTGTGGTTCACGGTCTTAGTTGCCCCACAGCATGTGGAATCTTCCTGGACCAGGGATCAATCCCCATATCCCCTGCATTGGCAGGTGAATTCCTAACCACTCGACCCCCGGGGAAGTCCTCAGGCACAACTTTTGGGGGGGAACATTTATGACAGAAATAGCAGCCTGCAGCAATGAGCCTCTAATAATGATTTTGTGGACATCACCCTTGGAGAAAATCTAGCAGACTCTGCTAGTACTGTGAGCTAGAGAAGCCATATATATATATGTGTGTGTGTGTGTGTGTGTATATATATGTATATATGTGTGTGTGTGTGTATATATATGTATATATGTGTGTGTGTGTGTATATGTATAAATATTTGTGTGTGTGTGTGGGGTGACTGGTATTGCCTTCATGGTACCCACATGTTCCACAGAGCCATCTGACCTACCATAAATCAGGGCATGGTTAGGACTTGGTGACAGAATCATCAAATGTAGACCCAACTGGACCTAGATGAATTCCAGTAGTGGTGCTGAATCTTTGTGGCTTCTTTCTAAATTATATAGATGTATTTAAGATAGTCAGCTCTGCTTAGTCCAAGGATGACTGAGAAAGATTGTGCCCAATTTTGGGTTGTCATTGCTCACTTGAAATGTGAGAAGGCTTTTTTGAATCCACCCTGCTTTTTTGCCAGCATTCCCACTCACCAACTATGGTATTTTCTCATAATGGAATGTTTTACCATTGGTGTAGCATGTGCTCTTATAGTAATCTCACAAAGTTGGTAAGTAGAAAGCTGAGGGTGAGGATGGCTCAAAAGAGTTCACACATTCTTAAATTTATGTTTCTATGACTAACATTTTAGGAAATATTTTCATGCTGAATGGAATCCCTTTTTATATGTTTTAATTCTAGTTTTTTAAATAATAAAACATTTCCATTTAAACAGTGAGTTTAAAGCTTGGGTTTAAGAAATATTGCTGATAAGTCAACATATATGTTTGATTTATTGATTTTTATTCTTTAGAACCATTCACTTGAAATACAGAAGTGCAATTTTATACTCAATATAAAGGAAGGAGTGAATGATCACTTTACAAAAGAATTTTTCACTTTGCCAACAACTTTGTGGGAATCGTCTGTTGAAAAGCAAACTTCCCTAATGCAATTGAAGCATCTGATTTTACAGATGTTAAGTCATTTAATACATACAGTACAAATAGCATTCAAGTATACTGATGTGTGTGTGTGTTTTAAGGTAATATATTTGAAATAAAAATCAGTAATTTGCAACATGAAAAATGTAAGCTAGCGTATTGTTTATTAGTGTATCACTAAGGAATATTTCAAAGAGAAGTGGTTGTAAGAACTTATTAAGTCAAACTTTTTTCAGTCGAGAGGATATACATTTATTATTTTAAACCTCATTTTATAATGAGCCCACTGCAGTATATAAAATCATAATTTTATTTGAGTTTTTCTTATTCTAGGTTTCAATTACAACAAAGACAGCTGCTGATAACTTTAGCACCCAGTATGTGTTAGATGGTGGTGGTCACATAATTTCTCAGAAACCTTCACATCTTGGTCAAGGTAAGACAAGCTTTGTAGCATTCTTTACCTTTTTCTCTCTCTCTTTTTTTTTTTTTAAAAAGTTGTTTTCTCTTTAAATTCAAAGGTATTGCTTTGGGCTTGATTATGATAAAGTCTGGTTAACTTCCAATTGAACATTTAGCCTTACTCTAGCAGCTGGCTTTTTAAAATACATAGAGTTGTTCTCAAGAGGAACTGTGTCAAAGACTGAGCAACAACATGAATTAGTTATTCTATAAAAGTTGTAAGAGCGGTTGTTTTACTTGGTCATTAGTGTCTTCTTTATATGAAAGATAATATTTTTTTTGAAATGACTAAAACATTATTGATTTAGTAATGCATGGCAATTAACCATACTAATCAAGATATTATTAAATAAATAATTTAAAATATATTTATTTATGGAAAACTTCAAATATACATACAAATAGAATAAATACCCGTCTCTCAGTTTCAGTAATTATCAACTCATTGCTAATGTTTCACATATTATTTGAAGCAAATAAATACATTATACTTGCTATTTGTAATTTAGTCCATTAGTATTTTATACATTTACACAATGTTAGTACATTTTAATTGACATCTTTTTAAGTTCCTCTCCTACTTATTTTGGGCTTCCCTGGTGGTTTACCAGTAAAGAATCCACTTGCCAATGCAGAAGACATGGTTTGATCCCTGGTTTGGGAAGTTCCCCTGGAGGAGGAAATGGCAACCCACTCCAGTATTCTTGCCTGGGAAATCCCATGGACAGAGGAGCCTGGCAGGCTACAGTCCATGGGTTTGCAGAAGAGTAAGATATGACTTAGGGACTGAACAACTACCTATTTACTTCTAGAGAAAAATATCTCTTCAGGTGTGAGTTTCACATATCTACTTTAATCTTTTGCTATTAAGTTCTGGTAATGGGATGTATAAAGTTGAGAGAATATTAAAGATATGGCCTGTTTAGAGTCATGCGCAAAAGAATTATGAGATCTGAAAAAGGACTTGTGTTGTTGAGTATTTTGTTGTTAGTTGTCCTTGGAATTTGTGTTGTAAATTCATTTTTAATTTTTTGGTCCCACATTGTAATTTATCGAAGCACTATATTTTTTTCTGTGGTTTCGTCCCTCCAATTTTAATGTTAAATTATTGGATTTTTTCCCAATGATTTCTTTATTCATTGAATTTATTTTCTTATATCATAATACTGATACTACATTTTCTCATTCTCTTATTTTATAAATCTTCATTTATACTTTTGCTCATTATAAATTAATATTTTTTCATCTACATAAAGGAAAGAGTTAATAGGAGCCCTTAAGAAAACACACTTTTCCCCCTCATTTATTTGGTAAATAAAAATGAGCTCAAGTCTAATAGCAATTTAATTTGAGGTATTATATTGTGCATGCTTTAATTAGAAGTAATAGATTGTGATTCTTTTCTTTTTTATGTACTGAAAATAAAGACAAAGTGAAGGCATTTTTTAATATGGTCCCTATCCAGAAATGCTCTTACCCCAGTTCTTAGGAGTTCAAATGGTTTCCTAAGAAACCATTAGGAGATATTTGAGTGGCTCTCCTGTGGAGTACTTTGAAGTAATCTAGTCACCTTATAAAACTTAAATGTATTTATTTTTATCTTAGTAGTAGCCAGTCTAATGTGGATGACCAGTGCCTCTGCATCACTCATACTTCTCATGCTTTTCTATATTCATTTCCATGGGAACTGTGAAATAACAGTACTTAAATATGGAATCCTTCTGATCTCTGCCCATTGGCTGATTCATTTTTTTTTTCTTGCTGACCTAAGCCTTCTCTACTTTTAGTGAGACCATGTAGGCATATTAAGAAATTTCTGCAATCAGTAAATGAACCTTATTTTCTTAGCATATTCCTGTTAAAAGAAACTACTTACTTAGAAGGTCAATAATTGTGAAAGTAGTTACTGTCTTTCATAACTCACTTCCCCCCACCAATTGCCTAGATAAACAACAAAAAATCAAACCCGTAGTTTCTTGTTGCTCCAGGTGGGCGTATTATAGAGATCCGCAAGTGCTTTCAAAAGCCTCTTACACTTATATTGCCTTAGTGCTGATAGTTTCTGAGCGATTGAATCACAGACTCACATTTCACCACCAGCTGTCATTCAGCTTCCATTTAAATATTTTCTGTGTAAGATAAAACTCAGTACAACCATCCCAATTAATATCTGTGCATTTAGGGTTCTTGCAGATTAATATCTGCTGTGGTGTGAGTGTCCTTGCTTAGCAGTTAGTCTCATAGCATCTGATAGGATGGTGACACCTGTAGACAACCTAACTGTAGACGGAGGGACAGCTAACAGCGACATCTTCCTTAGGCATTTTAAAATGCATTACCCCTTTAAAACATATTTTAAAATGTTTAAGTATTGTTTACTACAGGTCCCAGTTCTGATTTTTCCGGATATAGGTATTTAACTTATGGATTAATTTAATCATTTAATTTGTTTGTTTAATGGAATATCATTTTAAATTACCTTTACCTTCCGTTCACTTCTAAGACATTTTACAAATTAACAAGAAATGTAAAACTAAGTTTCTAGCTTTTAAATTATTTTACCAAGAACTCTGACTAAATGACTTGTTTTGATATCTTTTTTTCTGTCATTGATTCTATTTCCTTTACCCTAGATAATCGGCATTAAGCTTTCTAAATTGATTTACCCTCCTAGACAAATTGTTTTAACACCTCTTAGTAATTCTGCCTTAGGAATTTCTCAGATATCAGAAGTAATATATTTAAAGTACTCTGATCAGGGTGTATCTTTTCCCTATCCTGTTATTAGAGTAGAGCATCATGTTCTTTGTAAATACTTGGTATGTGTGATTGTGTATGTATTGAAAAGTTTTTTTTCTTCTTGAGAATAGAACTTTATTCATTGAATAATTTAAGAAAATGTTGATATATTCAAGCAACCATACCTCTTTACATTAGGAATATAAATAGCTGCCTTATGGCATAACATAGGGTCATGTAAAAATATAACAGGGAGCATATTACAGGACTGCAGTTTAATTCTGGTGTTTATAGAATGTGCTAAAGTTAGAGAGCTGAGCAGTTCTCTTGTAAAATATGATAGTATACTAGGGCCTCCTCCCTATTGGCCAATATTGCTTGGTATTTTTTTAAGGATATACATTTCATTTGGAATCAGCAAAGTTTTCCATCATTAAGTTTTATTCAAACATATGTATATAATTCTTGGCTTATTGGTTCAATTTGTTCAGAGAAGATGTTTTTAGCTGGTGAAGCAATAAATTATCAGTTCATGTATGGATTAGGTACAGTGTGGTCTTCAATGCGTAACATATATTTAAAAGCCAACATACATCTTGTTCCTTTCATAAACACATATTTGCTGTACTGATTTTTGCCTACCTTCCTTACCACTGTCTGTCCACAGCTACAGTATATGTCATTATATTTGTCCAGGCTAGTGGAGAACACAGGTGAGTGAAAGGAATTCACAGACTAGTGGAGAATACAGATGAGTGAAGAGGTAATGACAGCTATCTAGAGGACGGTAAGCAAATTTTTCAGAAAACATAATATTTCAGTTTGAAGATGGTCAGTAAAAGAGGGAGTATAACCTTTCAATAAGAGAAGAATGGATGTAGAAGACTTCAGGAGACGACTGCTCTCTGTGTGATGACAGGGGAAAACACATGATTTTAAAGTTGTATTTTTTAAAATTCATTGGAAAACTGTGTCACAAAGAAGTTAAATGAACCAAGTTCAAGACGCACCTTTGTGCCTTCCTAGCTGCACCTAGGCACAAAGAGGTTGGTGGCTGCTGGTGTCCCTGAGAGCGTTGACTGAGCCTGGAGGCATAGGCAGGTGGTGGAGAGCCTGCTAGATGGGATAGTTTATGGCCCTCAGAGAAACCAGCTGAACTTTAGTAGTTACACACGAGCTGACATGACAGGTTGGAGGATAGGGTTGATCCTCAGACACTAGTTCACCTGAGAAGCCGAATTTTGTTAGGACTCTTGCTGAGTAAGCAGTGATGAAGAAAGTTAGGACTGAGCTAGAGAGAGAAGTATCTTAAAGTTGAGTACAGTGCTTAAATCCCAAAGCCCTGCCATAGGAAGAGACCTGATTCCATCTTCAAGACATTTGAAACCAGAAGTGAAATGGAACTGAAGTGAAGTCACTCAGTTGTGTTGTGAGTCCATGGACTGTAGCCCACCAGGCTTCTCCATCCATGGGCTTTTCCAGGCAAGAATACTGGAGTGGGTTGCCATTTCCTTCTCCAGGGGATCTTCCCCATCCAGGGATCGAACCCAGGTCTCCTGCATTGAAGGCAGATGCTTTACCCTCTGAGCCACCAGGGAACTGAAACTAAAGGGCTACTCAGCTCCAACCCAGATGAACTCCTTTTGAAGAGATCTACTCTTCACTCTAGCTGTTAGAGAAAATGAATTACCTTCACTGGGGGAAGTATCTATTTCAGTATCTATTGTTCCTTTATGCATCATGTCTCGTAAAAATAAAAATACTGAGAGACATGAAAAAAGGAAAATGGGATTCATAGTCAAGAGAAAAAGTAGTTGATATAAACAAACTTGTATATGTTTGAATTAGGAAACAAGAACTTTCATGTTAAAGGATTTAGAGAAAAAGATAGTCAAAATTGATAAGGTGGAAAATTTCAGCAGAGAAATGGAATTCTAAGGAAGAACCTAATGAAAATTCTAGAACTAAAAAAAAAGTATCATTAAAAATAATACAAGAAGTAAAGCTGAAAAGCCAATAAGCTAGATTAAACTGGTATACAAAGAATGACAGAGTTCTGTCATAGCAGAGTTCTGTGAGAATGTTTGGAGATGATGGATGCAGGAGATGAAGTTAGAAAATGGTAGCTTGGATATTAGGTTATGAAGGGCCTGTTATGTTATGGTGAGGAGTTTGTACCCCTTCTTGCAACCAATGATGGGCCACTGAAACTTTTTAGGTAGAAGATGGATATCA